ACCCCGAAAAAAATAAAATACCAAATAGTTTGATACTCGCCAAATCGTAACCACGCCTCAGTTAAAGCCTAAAAGACAACGTAACGCGAGAATTCTGGTCTTCTAGCGACAGACTCCCCTAACAATAAATTACACTAACTTTAACTCTAGTTCTAACCTAACTCTAATGATATTGACCAGAATTACTTCGTCTGTAAAATGAGCTTCGGTGAAATAAACTGTCGGTGAAATGAACTTGTCGGTAAATAATTGTCAGTAAAATGTGGTGTCTACGAAGTGATTGTCGGTGAGTTGATGGGATCCCATCCCACGTGATATGATCATCTGTAATCTCAACTATTCTACTCCCCGAGGAAATAAATAGGTAATCCCCAGAAGCGTGTCACTAGATGTTCATCTGACTACACATCATCATGATTTAATATGTGATTAACTATTTATAATAATCATATTTTAACGAATCCTTTTACTAAAACTTACTTTCACTGGAACTTTTTTTCACCAAAACCCATTTTATTAAAACTTCCTTTGATAAATTCTTAAAATGCTAAATTTCTTTTTCAATGAATCTTTTTTTTAATAAATGAAAAAATAACACAAACTGATATACGATTTGTCTTAATGACTAAAGAAGCAATTTCTAAATTCCAACAAGCATCAAGAAATGTACCATATACTGCCATGAATAAGCACCTTCTATAAACAAAATTTCTAATTTAGAATAAATATCCCCAAGAAAAAAATAAACAAAACAAATGTCTTCTGAAAGCAGGTCTATTATTAAATAAATCTACTTTCAAGTTCTGAGTAAACCTGTTATCCAGGTCAAAATGATTCCAACAATAATAATAACATCAAAATCAGTCTAGTAGATCATTTGCAATAGCATTTCAAAGTTTGCAAATATTTAATTAAGATAGTAAAATATTCTCAAACTTTGAGAGGCCATTGCAGACAATCTACTGGACTGATTTTGATAACCTTACCAATGTTGGAATCATCTTGATCAGGAGAACAGGCTTATTTGGAGCCAGAAAGCAGGTTTACTTAGTACTAAACCTACTTTTGGAAGAGTTTTTGATTTTTTTTCAAATACTGCCATGAATAAGCACCCTAATTATAATCAAAGAGGTGCTTATTTATGGCAGTATACGGTAAATACAGACAAGTCTAAGAATGTTTGAATGTCACTATTCATAAAATTTCATGAGATATATAACTGTTTGAATGGAATTATTGAACTAGATAATAAGGCATTATTAGATCAGTTAGAACAATTTATAGTTGAAGTAAGAAAATCTAACAGCCAAGATTATAAACACCATTACTTTATACTGGATTTTGTACTATAGTATGAGGAATATCTGAAATATTTGAAGAAACACAAGTTTTAAACTTGTTTAATAAACATCAATTTAAAAGTTTATATAAAATACTAGATAGTTATATGAAGTCACTTGTTAATGATGGTAATAAAAATCATAAACAATCTAGTCAGTTATCTAGAAATTGATAAAATTAAGTTTGTACTTAACTCACCTGCTATGACTGTTGATAATTCAAAAGATTTTATGCAAAGAGCTTGGATTTGGTTAACTTTATTATGCTATTTAAAAGGTAAAGATACAAAAAAACTAAAAGTATCTTGGCTTAAAGAACTAGATAATGGTGGTATGCAGCTTGAATTATCTAAAGAAAAGAATCATGCAGAAGGAATTAAAGATCTATATGCTAAATCTGGGAATAGTTTAATACTATCTAATATTCTAGGAAATATTTATATACCTATTGTAGTTATTCAAAAATATTTATCAAAATGTCTAAATAATGTTGATGATGATTATTTTTTTGTTGCTATAAATACTCCTAAAAAAGTATATCATGATGATTGATATTTGCTATCAAAATTAGAAAAAGAATCATATGACACTATAATACACAATATTTGCAAAGATGCTAAATTAGATTTTAAAGATCATTGTATTACTAACCACTCTATGCAATCTATAGGCCTTTATATTCTTGTAGAATTAGGTGTTATATTAGATGAATAAATGATCTTTTCTCAGCACAAAACTATTGCAGAAGTTTCAATTTATCAATATTATTCATTAAAATAAAAATGAAATAATGTTTCTTTTTTAATTCTAGTTGAAGAAGTAGGTAAAATAGTATTATTATATATAATAGTGATTTATAATTTATTTCTATGATTTTTATTTTTTTTAGAACCCAATTCTCATATAGCATTAAAGGATTTAACTGCCAATTATATTAATACCAGATTTTCTAAAGCATCTAATTTACTTTTCAGTAAATTTAATGAAGCTAAAATTAATGATAAACTCAAAACTATTGATAACAAGTTCAAAGCTAAAGATAATAAATCTAAAGCTGAATCTGACAATGAAGCTAATTCTGATATGAAGTATAAGAAAGCAAAAATTTCTAATATTACAATTGAAAATTGCAATAATATAAGTATTAATATTGGTTTAATGCCATAACTTAAAATACTGTATAATTAATACTTAATAGTATATATAATTGACAATGTAATTGAAATTAAATAAATTCATAATTATTGCTTTGTCTTTGATAATTTAATTAATTATGCAATTTAAAATTTTGTTCAGTTTGACAATTTTAAGTTTTATAGGTTTTTTATCTAATTGCAGAAAATTATAAAATTTCTGGTCATTAATATAAAGCTGGGAATCTTCCATAGAAAGATTCATGGCCACAATATGATTATTGTAAATAAAGTTTATTAAGTGCAAAAAATTATAATAAAGGTAGTTATGAGTAACACTTAGTACACAGGGGATTTACACTTTGAGACTTATTAGTACACCAATTACTTTACAACCTGCTGTGCTTGTAGGGAAAAGACTACCTGTTGGTTGGTGAGCTATAATTGGAGTGTTTTTTTCTAGATTTTTTTAAAAAAATTTCAGCACCTCCTCAACAATAAATGTTGTGGACTCATGGTAACCCATAGTTCATAATATGATTACATCTGCATACTTGCATATTTATTTAACAGAATATTAAAGGAAGTTCAGATACTAAGAACTTCTATTTTTCACTAATAGAAAAGTAAATGGTTATCATCAATAAAGTAACTACATCACAAAGTTGTTTTTTATAAAATTTATATAGATCTACAACTTTACATAGTTATTATATAGAATACTATATAAAAATAATATATTCTAATTTTTATTTATTATTTAATATAGAATTTATATAAAATTTATGTAAATTTATATAAATATAATTTTATAAAAAAAATTATATAAATGTTATATATGTATAAATTTTATAATTAATAAGTAAGCCATAATATCTAAATAAAATTTTATATAAATTTTAATATATATTAATATATATTATATATTATATCATAAAATTTAAATAAAAATTTTATATAATTTTTATATATCGTAAATTTAGATACAAATTTTATATATTAATAATTTTATATATACAATTATACTTAAATAAATCTTAGTGTAAATTTTAAAGATTTAGCCGATATCTCGAAATTTTACCCCCTATTGAGTTACTAAAAAAAAAATGTTCCTCTCGTAATTTTACCCTAATCCCAACGCTAATTCTAACTCTAATTCTAATTTTATTGGACTATAAACATATAATTACATTTGCTAAATTTTAGATAACTTTTAAATAAATATCATTTAGAAGTAATTATTATTTTTACGTAATATAAGAATTTTTAATCATATTATTTGTGCTACTTTAATTGTGGCGCATATACTATGAATGGAAGTAGGAAAGAGGATAGTTTACTGCCATGTTCGATAAACTAAGTTTTACGGAAGTAATGCGAAGGAGATAGCTTACAGTCATGTTTCGGTGATTCGTGTTGTAAGGGGGAAATTAGTACAAGATCGTCACCTAAGTGGCTCGGATTGATTCTAAAAATCTACCAAATCTGTTATAAAAGGATTGGAAAATTAAATAATAAGGAAATGTATTTAAATATCTTTAGTAAAGATAGTTATAAGATTCAACGCTTTAAAAATCTCAGTTAAAGCGCATCGCTCTGATAATACTCCCTTCCGATAAGTAAAACACATATAAGGAATTAGTGATCCAATCTCATGATCCCGAATCAGAAAACTCATCGTAATCGAAAGCTTTTAATCATTTAACGCATAAACCCTAATTCCACTATTGGAATGACCTATAGCAAAACCCGGGTTGTTCCATATCGAGTAGTCTGAAGCAAATTATTCTTATAACCCGGAGCATTAACCCGGAGCATTAACCTGAAGCACAACCCGGAAGTATTAATATAAATATAACCCAGGTTGAAGGTCTGCTCCATCTAATTTTAACCCAATCCACTCCACTCTTTCTATAGAAACTTGGGCGAAGATATCTCAGCAACCACCAAGTCAAATTCGATGAACTTCTCTATTTGAATTCGACCTGGTAATTCCTGAGATATCTTTGATAAAAACTTAATTTGTAAGATATGAATATTAAATTGGGGTATAAAATAATCCCCTAATCTTAATACTTATTACCAATAAATTTAAAATTGTTAAATATGAATAGAATTTTTTAATTTATAAATCAAAGTAATATGTTATAAATATTGACTACTTCGTGAGCAATAACCGATGTATCAAGATGAAATCGTTAATATGTTATCATAATTGTTACAAACAACTTTACATGAATTAAATGATTCACTTTTTTATAAGTTGGAAAATTTCATATTCAGATATAGAAAAATTAGCAGTAGTATTCCTAATTGCTTTTTCATATGAATGAATTTGAGAATAACATCGATTATCATGATTAAAATTATTTGCCAAAAAAAGATTATTACCAAAACATGGACCATAATCAGCTTTACTTTTAACACCATATTGTGGATTTTTTACACGACTTAAAATAGAAGATTGAATAGATCCATTTTTTAAAGAAAAAATAAAACTATCATTACAATACATATATCCACCAACGGATTGATCCCATTCAATAGGATTATACCCACCAAGAATTTCATCAGTATCTCTAACTTTTACGACCACAAGAGTATTAGCATGCTTATCGCATAAATTCCAAAAAGCAGCGGCAGTAAAACCATCTCTGCTTCCACGGATAAGTAACTTAAATTCGTATGGAACATTTTTTATTAAATCCGTATCAGTTTTCTTATCAATCCAAGATATAATTTCAGCAATATGAGCTTCATTAATAATTGTGGAAGATGAATTTGTAGATATTGGTCTTAAAACCACACGAGGAGGGAGAATTATTGAAGATACTGGCCGACTTGGAATTATAAGTTTTTTCACTATATCATTCCAAAGATTATTTTCTAAAATTTGATGATATGGTTGAACATTATCAATAATGTCTATTCCAGACATTTGAAAGTAACGAATAAGAGGTAAACAATTTTGTAGAGTGGTCTTTAGGGTTAAAAAATTTTCATGAGACCAGTTTTCAATATCATATGACAATGTAGGATTTTGAGCAATTCCCCATTTAGTGATATAATTCCAAATTTTCACTTCTTCTATTTGTAAATCATCACGTTCTATAAGTGAGACTAAAGCATTTTCTTTAAGAGAGGTAAAGTCTTCTGATTCAAAAACCTTATCAGGACACCTTACTAAGGTATCATTACACCATTTTTGTAATTTTTGAAGATTAATATTCTGGAAACTTCTTTGATGAACATAGGAAAAATGAGAATAAAGCCAGTCATCGTTCACTTCAATTAAATAAAATTCAAGATAATTTGCTAATTCATCAAGCAGAAGTTCATTTGTAACAAATATTAATTCAAAAATAAAAGATGCATCTTGATTTTCTAGCGAAACAACACCTCCATAAATATATCTTTATTATATTGATAATTTTAATTAGTGCTTATGTATAAATTTTGTAAGATATGTTTTTTAAACATTCATATAACTTACTTTATAATAATTTCAAATTGTTGGGCAGAAACATGATTCAAATTAATCATCTTGATATTATTATTATCACTGCGAATGCTTGCTAACTTATTACGAAAATACAAAGATCTACATCTCAAAATATTTGAATGCGCTTGAAATACTTTAGAATTTGAAGATTCACCCGTATCAATAATTACATTAAAATCTTCTTTGTCGTCAAGTAGTTCAAGATAATTATTTGAAAGTTTTTTAAAGAATTTTACTGCCATTTGATGAAGAATATACAGTACGTAAATTTTTAGTTCTAGAATATTTGATAAGAACGTTTGGTATAAATAGAATTTGTAATAGGGAAAACTTTTTACAGTACTTTTAGTGTCTAAAATAAGTTAGGAAGTGGTTTATTTTATTTAGTGATTGATACATTGAAGCAAAATGAATTTAGCCTAGATTGACATGTAAGAGGCACATGTAATCAGTTAAGGGGTAAGCAAATCATAGTTTCAAATCGAACTGGTAATTTTTTATTTTATGATATTTTGAGAAATATTGTAAAAAATCTTTATTGTTACTCATTATTACAAATAATAATAATAATAATAATAATAATAATAATAATAATAATAATAATAATAATAAAATCATTCGATCCTTAGTTCATTACTGTCCAATCAGTCTTTTTGAAGACTGAACTATCATTAATGGTGTAAAAATTTGGTGGTCCTGTGATTTCTGAGGATGTGAATCCAACACACACTTTATTCAATAATATTTCATGGAAACAGTTTTTAAGATAATGTATAATGATTCGTAATTCCGTATTCCTCCGGGAAAATAAGTACCACCCAATAATGGCTAGGGTTTGTCAACGAAGTGGCAGGGCGATCATTATTTCGATATCAGATGACTTTATGGGATCACATGTTCAAGTTGTCATTTATGGAATTTGTGTATGGTCCTATAGGTCTTATAGTATCTTGTTAGATGCAGGTATTTTTCTGGTTAATATCATGATTGCATATGATTGAATTACTATAGCAATTAGAGAATGAATAGGGATAATCATATGATTCTGAGTATGTAATCAGTACGTATTTAAGAGACTTTAGTTAGTATAATAGGTTATCTCTTTCCTTTCGCTATCGCTTGCCTTGTGGTAAAGGCTGGCTCTATCGCCCGCTGGTAGCATAAGGATCCCACATTTGGCAATTAAGTTTCATCTGCCATAGCTAGGCCTCCGCAAAAATTACCCGTGCGATTTCGGGATTTTTGGAGGCTATAAAAACGATGTTACACAATTGGTGCTTGAACCGAAATCGTATGCGGAGTTAGTATGTTAAGCCCACTTTCGGAAAACATGCTTCATTTATACCTTACATACGCTTGCTGCTAGCAGCATGCGCATGTGAGGTCTAAATGAAGCATGTTTTCCGAAAGTGGGTTTAACATACTAACTCCACATACGATTTTGGTTCAAGCACCAATTGTGTAACATCGTTTTTATAGCCTCCAAAAATTCCGAAATCGCACGGGTAATTTTTGCGGAGGCCTAGCCATAGCCAATGCAAGGACCTCATTAGGCACTGTTGTAGGCAGTGCAAGGACCCTATGTCTTAGTTTCATTTATGCCGCCAGTTAATACTATATAATCGACTCTCTTTGACTACAGTCGGGCTACGATATATTTTAGTGGTAATGGGTTATAATGCTGTAATGTGTTTATTTGTTTAGAATGAAATTTCCCTTTGAAGACATAGATATTTTAGCATAATTAATATAAAGCTTGTAAAGCCTGTAAATTATAGCGAACTGAATCCTCATATGTTTCTTCTTCGTGTAAATAAAGTCAGCTGATCGAGCAATATAATAAAATTACTATAAGGCCACGCAAAGTTAATTTTTCGTTTTGCATAACCCGTCGACCCAATTTTTCAAAAAAACTTTTTTTTTTTACACCCGATAGTGAGCTTAATTTTCCGGAATAACCCGACAGGATTGTTAAAAAAAAAAAAACAAAATTTCCGAATTTTCTGATTCCATGTTATGCAAAACGAAAAATTAACTTGCGTGGCCTTAAATATGAGCATGAATCTACTAAATTATAGTAAAATTTTTTTTTTTTTAAAAAAAAAAAAATCCGACCCGCTTCTGGAATTTCGGAACACCATGTTATGCAAAACGAAAAATTAACTTTGTGTGGCCTAAATTTGTGTAAGTTTTTCGAGACCAAAATTTCATGTAATTTTAATAACATATGAATAATGTAGCCAAACTTCATTATACCTGATGTATTTTTGAATATAAATTATAGCTTCGACAATAATCATGTACCGTCCATTATCAAATAAATATTACATTACAATTTTGTAAGTTATACGGTGTTATTTATTTGTAACGTAAATGTAATTTATGTAATTTTCAACCTTAACCCTGGCCTGCATTGTTCAAATTTTGGCCTGAATTATAACTATCTTGATCGACAATCCCTATCGCTATTACAAATTCTCGTCCTGAAGATCACAGGACCGCCAAATTTTTTACTTCGCTATTTATTGAAAATTACATCTATCCCGATTTCTGATTATTTAAATTTAATCCAAATCAATCAAGTGATGTAACCGAGAACACTAAATTAATGCGAATGATATGAACCTAAATAAGACGTAATGAATAACAAATGTTTAGAGATGAGCTTCATGCACTTTTATCCCATCAAAAGGTTATATAGAAAATAAGAACTTATATAGCTAGCCAAAAATCAAGAACCAAATTTTAATACATATTATCTTATTAAAGAAAACTTTTTTATTTTAATTGGGTTTCCTTCTCAACTTTCTTGCGCCTTTTTGTTTAAAACAAAAGCGCATTTTTTCCGATTATACAATCGGTCTTAAATTTTAATTAAATTTTTTAATTTAAACTTTTGGAACACTAATTTAAAAAGCTTGGCAAAGCTAGTCGAATCATGTTATTCTTAATAATTTACTAGAATGCGCAATATTAATAATTACAAAAATGGATATTCCATTCTTGGACAGCGTAAAATTTAGGAGATAAGAATTTAGATTTCAAGATAACCTGAATTGCTATATGACTAAAGTAAAAAGTTAACTTTTAAACGAATATATTGCATATTTTTTAATATTATACTTTTACGTGCACAAAGATTGATAGATATTGATAAGATAGAAAATATTAACACTAGAAAAAAAACTAGCTATTTTGAGATATTTACTAATTTGAGCAGAATATATTATTAAATGTAGTATTACAAAGGCGAAATAACAGTCGCTAATATCAATTTGTTTATAATAAGTAAGCTGAAAAGCTTATTGTGTTTGACAAAAATGATGCACTTGCTAATGTTAAATTTTGCCGGAATCTTTTATAACGAATGTCTCCGCTGATGACATACGTAAAAGGGAATTACATTAGATCATAAGATTACTTGTGAAAACAGTGATCTACTTAACTACAATACATCTTTCTAAAAAGAATTACTCTTATAGTTACAAATGAGAGCTTATAAGTTCATTTTCCTATTTTAGCTTTATCAAATATTCACGCCTTGACCGTTAAAAATTAGATCGATTGGTTTCCATATTTAATAAATTGGCGGTTAAACGTGATGTTTATTATTATGATCGTTATTAATGCGTAAGGTGACACAAAGCTAATCTAGATATTCAACGGCACCGTTTAATCGTCGAAAAATAACACCGTTTAAATACTGGCCGACCTTAGTCGTTCTTATGCCAGAAAAGTTCTTTATGAAATAGGAAATAAGTGACAAAATATTTTTATTTGTTTTTACTCACATGATAGAAATGTCGCGTAATTCTTACGCGTTTTATAATTTATAGTATAAAAATCAAAAAGTAAATTTACTTTTTTATTTTCTTTGGCGTTTTTTAATTATAAATAGATTGATTTCTTCAAGATAATAAACCAATCAATAAGCACAATTGCGAATTTATCTTATATTGTTGCCATGTCCTATATATACGTTTGCGATTCCCCTCCATCTTCTCTTTTTTTTTTATATAATACGTTCAAGCGTTATAATCGTTCCGGAGGCGATGGCATCTCAAGATTCGAAAGAGTTTAGCTGTGAGGTCTCTCGCTTAGTCGAAAGAGGCCTTTCGATTTTGCCAAAAGAATTCAGTGCGAATGAGTTGGCTCAAAACTTTAACGATAAGATCCCCAACGTAAGGGATATATATAATCTTGTTGTTAAACTCAAAGTCAAAAGATGTGGAAACTATGATGATTCTGTTGTAGACAGAATTGGGGAGCTTTTGTGGTTCACTGTCTCTGAAAAAGATAAAAATGAAATACAAGAACAATACGCAAATCTCACAAATCGTGTTATTGAAGTATTGACACCAGTTCCACAGTCAACCACAACCACATCAACTTCAAACGTATACAACGAGCTATCATTAGATGAAAGTTTTTACATAGGCATTACAGATTATGTTCCACCGACAAACTCTGATAATCAGCCTCCAGATTCTATGGATATGATTGGAGGCATCACGCCTCAAACGAATAGAACGAATAGATGAATTTTTTTAAGAAAAAGATATTAACTATTAAGGTTTTTATATATGTACACGTTTTATATAAGTTTTTTTTAAAAGTTAGAATAACCCATTTCCCAAAAAACAACCAAAATATGCGTAAAAATCTTATTGTGTATGGTATGCTAGAAATCATAAATGCATCCATGGTGTTATATTAAAATTCAGGTGTTATGATTAGTTATTAGGATTATAGTGAAGTCTTTTGGGGCATTATTATTATTATTATTATTATTATTATTATTATTA